CGTGGACTAATTCAGAAGGCGCAGGCTAGTGGGGTCACGAGCAGGCAAGTTCGTGCAACTCGTGTGGCCCCGCCCCTCCCTTTTCGAAGGGAATTTTCGTTTTTAAATCCCATCAGCGGTTTTCTTTGCTTTTTTCATTTTTATTAAATTCAGCATTCACTACTTCATTATCAACCGTTTTGGCCTCACAAATTTGATTTTTGCTTTAAAGGACGAATTCACGCTGAAAGGCAACCCATTTCAAATTAACCTAGGGATGGTGAGTGGTACACGAAAGAAGGAAGAACCATGAGAAACGGCCCAGAACCCGAGAAATGGGACCCCTTCCTTGCCCGTTGATTTGAGCATTGATGCGACTCTCATCGCTGTGCCCTCTTCAACACTACGCTCTCTCTGCTATCTAATCACTCGCCACGTATAGACTGCGGCGAGTGATCAGATGATCGGTGGGCGGAGATCGCCAGACCCGCCAACTTTGAGGCATGATAGGTCGCCGAGGTCAAATTTTTCGATGCGAATTGCGCATCAGTTCGCACCCTCAGGAGGTCCGTGGGTCCCTCAACTAGGTCAATTACTTCTTCCTTCGACCTTCATTCTAATCGTGAATTCCTCCTTTAAGTAAGGCTGGTGTCAGAGTCAGTGATTGACCGCGCGTGTCGCAGAAATTGCAAGTGCCCGATCAATACTATGCGGTGCTGCTCCGGTACCGCCGCCAATTCTGCTTGATTGTGATGAGTGAAGGAGACTGTCTCATGATCCTACTTGTTTCATGTTCAATGTTTCAAATGTTCATGAGTCCACTCTATTTTATTATTTCCCGGACGAAACTCAGCATGGATTCAGAACCTGAAAGTGGGTCTGCTATTTGATTCCCAAGTCAATGTGTTTTTTTTCAAACGTTGAATCCGTCGCAGGAAGGCTCAGCAAGGCAAAAAAAAACTCCATGAAGGTATGAGGGATTTATCGTGTGGCACACAAGGACAGAAAGCGACTTTTCCGCTTTTTGAGCGCGAAACTTTTTTACTCAGGAAACCCATGTCCATTACTAACCAGGAATTGACCTGGAATTCCGGTAGCGAAGGGAGTTTTGCGCTGCAAAAATCGGAAGATTCGCTCTCTGTAATAGCGAACCATACCAAGAAAAATGCATGGAGTCAGAGATCATTTATGCGGAATCCATGCAGTGTTTAGTCCCCTGAGAAAAAATTTGATGAATATCCGAAACACTGAACATAAAAAAATCATGAACGAGCCGTTATTCAATCATCACAATCAAACCGAGGTGGCGACGGTATTGGAGCAGCTCCTCGCTCGCGCGACGAATCGCAGACTCTGACATCAGCCCATCGTGACGGACTTGCAACCATCACAATTCTCCTCACCCACCACTGATGTGGAGACCAGCGTGCTCTGTCGCGTAGTTTGTCTTTCTGATCGTTTTGTCTCTCCACATCCGACCTTACTGGAAGTCCTGATTTTAGTGTTTTCGATGGATTCTCTTGTTTTCTCTTCCGCTTTCGGCTCACTACGCAGCTCATCCTCGAATGTGAAATGTTCCCATGCACCAGTTTCAACGCGGGATTTGCTTTAATCGCTATATAGCAATGACCGACCTTGCGACCTCGATTCTTTTGCCGTTGAAATGCTCATTAAAAGTGAAGCTCTTTCCTAGCATTTCAACAGCGTAGGCTTGGATGTAGCAACGTCGATCAAGTTTGGAGGAAAGGAGAATGTCCTATGAGAGAGCGCAGGCTCTCCAGGTCCGACACCGATAGCCTCTCTCCAAGCTGTAGTCTTATGAGCGGAGCAGATCCGTCCATTCCGACATGGCATGGCTGGCAATGACAGGGAGATCTGTCGCAGTGGCTTAGTAGCTGTTTCTGCCGTTTCACATATTTTTATCCCCATCCCATGCATGGGCCGTCATCGTCGAGCTGGGTGGGCACTGAGAATTTTGCGCGCTGTGTCTCGCTCAGAGGACGAGAATGAGGTAATATGAAAATTCATAGGAGTAATTGCAAAATTTTGCATAAACCTAGGCATGGTCGTAATTGCACAGATCTCTATTTTCACGATTCTATCAAGTTTTTTTTCGAACATCCAAATTATGGGGCGGAAGTGGTGTAGTGGCAAGTGGCACGCTTACCACGCGAGCGGTCCGGGGATCAAATCCTGGGTCGTGAGTCGCCCGGGCCAACCAAGCCTTCCATCCCTCCGGGGTCGGTTAATTGGTACCAGACTTGTCTGGGAGGATAAAAACACATCGGCTGGCCCCCGCAAGTCATTGTATAGGCCACATCGCATTCAAACGCCACTACGAATGTACAAATGGAAGTAGAATGCGTGCCGCATCCCAAAAGGGATTGATCAACGGCAAATGCTTTATCCTTTCCTTTATCCAAATTACCCTCTTTCAAAACTAAAAAAAAACTAAACCTTGCAGTAGTTACGTCATGATAGGAACATCTTCAGTTGAGAGGTTTTATCTTCCCTCGGAAGCATTTTCATGGGTCGCGGCACGAAAATTTCAAAAATCAAATTAGTTTTCTTCCTAAAAGTATTTGAAATGTTGCAAATGTTCAATATTCAAAAAATCGTCCCGTTGTTCCGTTTTTTGTGCACACGCGAGTTTTCGACATTCAAACATTCATAACTTTCTTCATAATCAACTTTTTGCAGATGTCTAAGGCTAATTAGAAACTAGAAGATTAGGGCTTCCCAGAAATAGCTAAATTCCTCTGAAAGACCACTATCATAAAATCCCGTTGTTCCGTTTTTCCGTCTATGGCTTTTCTAGGCCATCCTAATGGAACACGAGTTTTCAACCTTCAAACGTCCATTAATTTCTTCCAAATTGATGTAATGATGAGCGGTTGAAACCTTTGCAATTTGCACGATCTATCACTATATAATATCAATTCAAAGGGATCTGTAACATAATCTCCCTGAAAAGCTTTGGAACAAAAATCTTTCTTCTCCCAAAATCTGTTTCTTCTGTTAGGACTCTAGAAATCAATCCGCCGAATTCGTTGGACTTTCTTCACCTTTATTTCGGTCTGAAAGCATCGAAATTTCCCTGAATGAATCTGATTGCTCACTTTAATAGGGAGTGATTTAGTGAGAGCTACTGTTCTGAGATGCGCCATCCAATCATCTGTGGTGAGTAATTGTTGCGGTAACTAAAAGACTGTTTTTTGCCGACTGCCATTCCTTGTTACCTTCAGCTTTTGTGACTGGTACTTAAGCTTACGACCCCTTCCATTGGCCAAAAACGACCTGGTCCTTGCGCAGCGACCCTCTCCTAGTAGGCGGAG